CGAAACATTTAATACTCGTAAGTTGCGTCAGACATTGTCCCAAGCAAAAATCACCAGCTAATTTTATCATGTTCGTATTTATTAAGCAGTAATAGAAATTCTTTCATTTAACATTTGCATCATTTTCCTCTTTTGATTATAAAAATATTTAGCTTTGTATGACTTATACAGACTTTATTGATCTTAACTATACCTAACAACAAGAGTTAACTTTGCGGGATGCGATTTTGCCATACGAGCAACGTGTTAATGACGTAACCCTCGCGTTCAGCAAGAGTTTACTGTAATATTATAAGCCGATCACAGTAACAGTAACAGCTCAAAGGAACTTTAAGTATTGCTAGCCCAAAGGGCTGGTAAATTAATAACCCTTAAGGGCTATTAATTTCGTTTTGGCATCTTTTGTCTAAAACTTTAATCATTTAACTTTAAAGTCTGAATCACTTTTCAGATTATTGCTACCAAATATTATCGCCCTGTATTATATTTAAAGAAATTAAATAATGAAGAATCTGCATTAAATGTATATATGTCTCTCGCACTGTGATAAAACGACGGTACCTAGAGCCATCCGATCTTGAGTAAGGTATGTCCCCACCGAATAATGGGCATCTGGAAGCCCAAATTCGGAATTTGTTTTATTATCTATTTCATATTTTGTAATGCATTTATGAGCTTTTGATTAAGAAACTCCACGATATAAAAGCGAGCAATGACAACATTATACCCCCCAAAAAAATTATCTCCAACGCACATGACTGTGTATCGAAAATTCTACAGATACGCTCTTTTTAAATTATTTTGCGATATTTCTGTTGAATTGAATAAGAACATGATATTTAATAAATAAAGGAAGCACACAAAAGGTTAAAAAATGCCCGTTTGGGTGTAATATAAAATCTTAAAGCTTTCAGACTTTTTTTACTTTAATTTGCGCTGACTGTCCCTTAAATTTAAATTATGGGTACAGTGAGTAAGACACATAAGTTATCTGAAGGAAAGGATATCATTGTAGGGTAGCTGGGAAAATGAATTGTAATTTTTATTTACAAGAAAACTGAGGACAATAAACTTCTATATTTTATGAACTTACATGTTCTGTTCATGCACAAGCACAAATAATAAATACCGCTTGGCATACCATAACACTCATCTCCAAGAATGCGTTGAGGCATCATCTGCTATCAGTATGTTTTATTTGAATAGAAAGCTTAGAGCCCAGAAGTTTATTTTTACTAAATCAACATCATCCCCCAAAAAATCGCACTTGGGAGAGTTCTTTGTTAGCGTAGAGATTGCGAAAGAAAAGGAATTGTTATTGGAGAGTAAAAAATTTGTTAAACAATGTCATGTGTAAACGGCACGTGCATTTGGCGGAAAGAAAACGCTTATGAATTTCGAAAGATCACTTTTCAAAACTAGCTATACATAGAAGGTCCCACAAATTTAGTATTTTTTCTAATTTTTGGTCATATGTTATCAATAATAAGATTGTATGACTGCTAAGAATGATAGATTTTGAATGAAAATTGTTTGAATAAATTTTTCTTATATATGTCATTTCACTGTTACTTTTTAAGTTCATTAAAACTTTTCACTACAGTACAATTCTTCCATGGCGCCCATCAACGGTAGAGCGGTAAAATCGGCTGAATACTGGTAATTCGGTCTGGAGCTCAAATTCCGGCGAACGGGCTGGCCGCATGGGCGTTTTCGCTCTTTTCCCCAGGCGTAACGTTTATACGAGCCAGTTTTTCTTAGAACGTCCACCACGAAGGCATCCCTCTCCTTAGGCAGATAGCCCTCAAGTGTTTGTTATAATCAAATAATCCAAAACAACCGCCAATTCTTTCATGAGATCTAACGACTTTATTTTTAGTTACCTATTATTGAGAATATTGTGACGTCTAATAAATGTATTTCTAATGCATTTGACTAAAGTGGTGTTGATAAGACAATTTTTATATATAATTTAGTTTCTACTCTTATATGCGCCCTAATATCACCAAATTTGGCGATATGTGTTCTGCGCTGGTTTTTGGCGCAATTGCGTGTTGTATGGCAACCCTGTTGGCGTTGAAAAATTTTTTGCTGGAGTGTTTTAATTGCTCGTTGATTCGTGTCGTGCGTGTTTTAAAATGGCCTATGTTGCAATGATAGACATGGCGGTAAGATTTCAGATTCTCGCCAAAAATGTTTGGCGAGAAATTTGGCAACCAGAGGGCGCATATAAGAGTAGTTCCATAACTTATATTAAATAAAAGAAAAGAATGTGCATTAAAAAAAGAAAATTATTCTTTCTAATTAGATGTGCAACGTGGAAATGAGCTAATTTCCCTCAGAATGTCAGTCAAGAAGGCATGTACTCCTTTCGCCAGATAATTCTAGTATGCTTATCAGTATTCAAATAGTATTCAATATCATTATTCAAACACTACAATAAATTATCAAAAATGAAGTACTATGTTGCGTCACATTTCTTTCAAGGTCTTCAAATCTCTCCAATAGCGTGATGATTACATACAATTAATTTAAATTTCTGTTCTGCTTAAGAATGGGATTCCCGTGTCATTTAAAATCGTGTAGTGGCTAACATTCATTTTAAAATTTTCTTAAAAATACGTCATTGTTAAGCAGCCGCAGGACATTTAAAACAATCGAAGGATTTTTGAGAAACCGTATATAAGTTCTGTAAGTTATATTAGAAATTTCAATGGTAGAAAGATCGAAATTTCTGAAAAATCAGTCTCTGTGGTATATTGTAATTTCTTCGCCAACAAGTACATGTGCAAAATTTCAAGAAACTGCAGTAGACAGAAGGTTTTCAGAATTTCCAATATTTGATCCAATAAATTCAAAAATAAAGGAACAACTAGAGAATCAAAGCTAAATAAATCCATACCAACAAATTTTTATTGCTGTTTTTAGAATTTTTTATTTAAGTTTATTTTTCTCCTTGGTTGTTCAAGTGAAATTTTTAATACATTTTTAGTTATTACTGTAAGCCAACTGATTTTCTTGAAATTTTGCACACATATGTGTTTTCGATGGCAGTCATAACAATTTTTTCAGAATTCGATGCAGAATTTTTTACTTCCTTGCACGAAGTAAAGAAAGTATTGTAATAGCCAAAAATTCCGGGTGTCATAAATCAGTTAAAATAGCTATTTTGACCGCTCTTTGAATCCATTCGAACAATAATTTTGCATGATATCTGTACGTGCGTACAGACTAAACGAGTTCAAAACCGAGTTTCCTTGAGTGACTGCTTGAGTGACTGCTTTGAGTGACTTGCTTTTTCGTGATAAAAATCAGGAAAAAAACATTGTTGCCACAATTTCTTTCCATTTCGCGTTTTCTTTGTGATAATGTTGAGCGCGATGAACCGTGTTGTTGCAAATTCATGCTTACCATCAAAAAGTATCGCTTTGCTTTAAGCGATGAAATTTTGCTTAGGCTTTATTCTTTGCCAAAAAATACGTTTCATTTCCGAGGAGATATTTTTTTTGACTCTATTCTGTTTCTTAGATTTGACTCGTATTTACACTCGAAAGTATGTGACTGATGACATTGATCCACTACATCCTACTAAAGATGGTGTTTCGCTGTCTCTACTCGTATGAAAATGTACCTGTGATCATGCAAATACATTTGCTTCCTTTGAAGGCTCTGATAGTGTTTTTGTTGTAAAGAAAGATGTGTGTGTTTCGAAACAAAATGCCAACAGCGAAATAATTATATAGCTACAAAGATTATTTCAGATAACCGATTTTAGGTTTGAATTCGTACCGGAACGTGTTCTGCTGAGTAAAGAACATTTACGTAAACTGGGCTCAAAATATAGCGAAATATGTGTTGCCAAAATGGAAACTTATTTCTAAAACTCTCAACTATTTTGTGAGAAAGCAGCTGGTTAGTCATACACATTGTGAACGTCAATGTGCTTGTAATGCAGACCATCCAAATGGATTTCATGAACTGCAGAACTTGTAAAAGTGTGCTGAAAAATTTACTTCCAAAAATTTGCACAAGGTTTTGTGTGTTTTGGGTACAAAGTAGGCTTTAACAATGAGCTACGACATGAATGCTTGTGAATCAGCCTTGCCGAAAAATGTGAAAACTATTTTGACCAGGCTTTGCTTAAAGTTAATTGGCTTGAGATGGCAAATTATTTTATCTGTCAAAATGGACATGATATAAATGTTAGTAAACTATTTGTTATTGATGATTTCTTTTATATTTGCAGTATAAATGATATACCATTGATTCAAAATTCGAAATTCATTGAATTCAGAAATCATTCACTTTCACACGACACATAATGCAACCAAAGGTTTTGTTGAGGAACGATTTAATCGAATCCTTAAATGGCAAATGAGGAAATACTTCCCCGAAATGAATTACATTAATATTAAAGATAAACTCATATCCGGTTATAATAATACATGGCATCTAAGTATTAAGACAGCACCATCATCGGTTACGGTACAAAATCAAGAAAAAATCAGGAAAATGTTGTACGGTCAGTAGTCAGCACTAAAACATGTTCCTTAATATTTATTATGTGTTCTATAACAGATCTCTAAGTTGAAAATGATGTCAAATATCCAAAATTTCGAAATTAAGTGACTCAGTCAATTTTTCAGATAATGGAATCAAACTTTCTTCGTATCTTCGTATCTTTCTGGTGTTTCGAGGATATATATATATTTTTCCTAAATATGAGTATAAAGATTAAAAAACCGTATAAATTGTTAGATTTCGTAATTTTAAAAAAATATGTTTTAAATTTAAAAATGTCAAAACATAAATATTTTCATCATTTAAATTATTTTTCTGACTGGCACTATATGTCCATGACCACGTATCGCGAAAATAAGGGTTGAGTAAGATATTTCCTGAAACACAATTAAGGAATAAGGTGGGATTAAAAAGAAAGAGATACCTAATTATTTTCCTTAAAATTATTATTTAATTCAAATATAACAATTCTGGCTTACCTTATCGACATCTGTGCCAAATAATTTTACAAATTCCTCTAGTGGAACGCTATGAATGTCCTGAAAATGAAACATTGTTTTAGTACGTTAAAATTACAGCGTATTGAAATGAAATACTTCTTTAGCAAACGCTAAATATTTTTAATAAGGAGAACATAAGTAAAATATAAGCAATAAATTATGAATATTTTTGTTAAAATTTATTTATACTTGAAAAGAAGAACTGTGTTGTTAAACATTATTATTATACGCACTCAGAAAACGCCATGTTAAAGTAGGAATCTTAATCGCCTAGGAACCTGCCAGTGGCCAAGCAGTAAAGTCTCTAAACAGTGGTAGTTCGGTTCCAGGCTCGAATCCTGCGAAAGGGATTCCGTGGACGTTTCCGTGGTTTTCCCCATGTGTAACGTGTATACGAGCCAATTTTCCCTAGAATGTTCTCCATGAAGGCATGCCTTTCCTTATGTAAATAGCCCTCGAGTGCTTTGCCATAATCAAATACACCAATACACATTAATCGCGTAGTTATAATATAAAGTGGTTACAGTTGCACACATGATACTCGGTTTCATTCGTCTTCAGACTACTGATGTGGTATGTATGCTGTAATTAGACATTTAAGCGGTCGAATTAGTAATCTGAGTTTGATGCTGGAAACATGGATTGCGGATGATGCCTGTGAAAAGTTATTTTCCAGAATTAATTTTTAGCCCAGAAGGGAGTTAACCTGAACAGGCTTAGTCTATTCGAACGGAAAGTCGCGAATGGGATTTTGCGTCATCAAAGATAAACGGCTGTATCACTTTTCAAATTGTTACCAACAAATGCTATTGTCCTACATTATTTTTAAAGAGGTTAAATAATCAAGAATCTGCATGTATGTATGTATGTTCCTCGCATTGTGAAAAAACGATAGTACATAGAAATTTTGAATAACATAGTCCTCCACCGAAACATGTGCACGTGGAAGCGAAATTTTTAATTTCGAATTTTATATTTCATATTTTGTAAAACTTGTAAATTTTTTATTAACAAACACAAGTCAACTTGAAAGCGAGCATTGGCAATACTTTACAGAATAAAGTATTATTGTCTCCAGATTGCAATACTTTATATTGGAAATTCTAAAGATATACTGTTTTTAAATAATTTTACGATTTACTGTCGAATTGAATTTTATGTAGTGCAAAGATTGTGATATTTAATAAAGAAAGCTAATGACGATAGAGGTTTGTAAGTCATTTCACTGAGAAAAGTGAACATTGATATGATGAATTCAAAAAAAAAATAATAATAATAACCTGAAAAAAATTTTTTTAAATGTATGCCAACACTTAGCACTGCATCTGCATTGGGAATTCTAAACATATCCTACTATACTGCTTTATTTTTTTTTATTTTGCTGTTGAGTTGTATACGATGCAAGTGCGAAGAAAATGATGCCTAATAATAAAACTAAAATAACAAAAAGAAATGGGTTAGCAGAAATAACTGAAACAGCAGACTGGTAGACTGCGAGGCAAAGAGAGCGTTAAAGACGTTCTCAAATACTTTTGGGTGATCATTTTTCTTTCTTCTTTTAGATTGATTTGCCTTTATTATGCTACAAAAGATTTATTTTTTGTGCTACTTTTACTCAAATCTAAATAAAACAGAATGATCAGCTCATATTTTTACACATAGGGTTTGTAATTTGAAAATGCATTTACAATATTTTTTGATGAAGCGCAAAGCATTGACTATATGACTCATGTATATTGTAGTTGTAATATTATTCTTTAATGAGGATGGTAATTTATCAGTGAGAAAATTTGTCGTTGGCGATTTAAAAATGAAATGACGATATTTATTATTTGACAGTATTATATTTAGTGGCAAACAAACTAAACTAAAATTTGCTAAAAGAAAACTAAATTTTTTCCGAGATTTGGTTATGAAAAATTTTACGTATTAATCCCATATTTTACTCATTAATCCCATATTCAATCCGGAATAAGCATATACCACCCCCCCCCAAAAAAAACAGAAGTGTAATGCAAACTACAAGAAAAGTAGGCAAAATATGTCGAAAGCAGAAACGAAATAAGGAATTTGCATTTTTGCAACATGGTTATCAGAGGATTGGAGCAATGAAAGGAGTAAATAAATCCCGCCAATTGCTGCTTTCAGGTCGCAAATGGATTGGATTTTGAGCTGCTTTTTACTTTGTATTCATTATTATATATATGTATGTAATGATTTTAAATACGTAGATGAAGACACTGTAACTTTTAACACCTTACGTAAGACAGTAGTGGCTGAAGGTAGAGTTAAGTGGGAAAGCATGATGTCACATTTATCACAACGGAGGTTGAAGAATCACAATCTTTATTTTTTACGTATAGCAATTAATCCTTTTTCAGACAAGATATTTTTTAATAATATTTGAATGCAGTAAGTTTCATTTTGAAGTAGGACGTCATCTTAAGCAAGTAAACGGCAGCTGCATGGATTAAAAGCGTCTTGCCAGCAGGAGAGCTTATACGAAAAAAGGGCAGAGTGTCATAGTACTTCAGAGAAAGAAGGTTGGGAGTAGGAAAAGTTTCAGTTCAGAGTTTTGGTTTAGAATTAATTTGATTGGACAAGAGGTATCTGCATTAAAACGTTACGTAACAGAGAAAAAACGAAAATTCTGGAACCTGTGACAAACGATGAACTCATGGGTTGATCACCAAATTTAGAATGTTAATTTTGAGGTCGCCAATTATTTTTTTTAAAACAGCTATCATATTTTGTGTTATCTTACACATATACATACATGTGTGTGTGTGTGTGCGCGTAAAATAAAAAATATGCAAATCTGCTTCTTAATTCCTCATTTTTAATTTGGGTATTGCATCTATGTAGTCTGAAAACAGTAATAACTTTTCCTGGACTGCTCCATTTCTACATCAGTCCAACTCATATGACTTGCGTAACGCTGATCATATTGCTAATTTGGAACCCGAACTTAAAATTTCGGGAACTGAATCCTTTTTCTTAATAAGTAACTCAAAACCAAAACCTTCTCTTGGTGAGCCTCGATACTGGGCAACTGCGTACTTTAGCCTCTACTCCGCTCACCTTTAAGATACTGGTTCACTTTGCTGTCTTCTTATCGCAACAGTATAAAAATGTAAATATTCTTGATAGACACGATTAAAGTTCCAAGTAAATTGTGGCTGCAAATGTCAATGAAATAAAGCTGAATATTCAGTCTTACCCGGCTGCCAGTTTCCTGTACTCTACGCCATCAACATTACTAGGTCTTTTTCAGTCAAATGGTTACCACATCGGCATTCGGCGATATTTAGAAATTTCGCGTTTCTAATCTTCTGATTAATTCTAACAACTCTAACAACTACCAGGGATAGGCATTCTAAATCAGGTAAGTGCTATACTATCAGCGTGCTGCTCTAATAAGGTGTCTAATAAGGTAAGTGCTATTCTAATAACGTGTCTAATAAGGTAAGTGCTATTCTAATAAAGTAAGTACTATACTATTTTATATTATTTCAACATACATTTAAACAACTAGAAAGCCCGGCGGTCATACGAAATGATCGCTGTTCTAGATATTATAAATTGTAATTAAAATGATTTGTGCAAAGGTGTCTGCTAATTCAAACTGAATTACCCAGGACAGGCAGCGAGGACGCCCCTTTGCTTACTGCCCCACGGGGTTTTCCCCCTTCTACGTGCTTAATTGCTTAAAGCAGAATGCAATAAAAGAACCCACTTGCGGTACATTTCTTAAGAGCCCCCGCTTGCTCAATAAATAAAGGTGATTTAAATAATAAAATGTTAATTCACATGTCAAAGATCTCTTTGTACACAACATTTCTTGTGTAGATCTTTCCGTCATTTTTAAGCTCGCCTTGCAGAGGACCATCCATTATTTTTAATTTTGCATCCGTTCTTTCACGAACTCTTGAACAGGCAACATAAAGTTGAACGCGTCCAAATTTCAGGCTCAAGTAAAAAAAAAAATGCCAACATGCTTAAGCGTTTGGCCCTGAGACTTATTGATGGTCGTAGCAAAGGCAAGTTTTACAGGAAATTGTCTACGTCTCAACTGAAACGGCAACCCTGTGCCGTGTCAACTGGCAACTTCCCCCCATTGTCTAGTACAGTTACACAAGCAACCAATAAACTATCGGCGACAAACAGACACTTAAGCCACATATAATAAATATTTATTTATTTCACTTTATTTGTTTTTCATCGTTTCTTTTTTTTTTTTTGCCGGTTGCATATTTCCGAATCTATTATATACAGATGTTAAATTTATTTATTAAATGTCAAATGCACGTGATCTTGTATTTTTAATTTTTCCGGCTTAGCTTTCTCATACTATTCGTCACGCGCTGCACTGCACGGGGAATAAAACAATTTACAGTTACGCAAGCAATCAATAAACTATCGGCGACAAACATTTAAGCCGCATATACACTGGTTAACATAAATTAAGGAAAAATCATAAAAAATCACGATTACTGAAAAAGTTACATGTAGAATTTTATGAAACTTACCCACAATATACAACACATACTAAGGTATCAAACAACATAAAACGAAATTACCATACAATTATGGTAGTATAGAAATTAGCACGTGTATAAAATGAACAAATCGAAGGTGTCAGTTTGCTATAGGAAAAGTACCTTCAATATGAAATATGATCGCCTGTAGAAGAAATACAGCACATACAGCCATGCGTGATGCTTTCAATTATGCGGTCTATCAGTTCCATAGGAAGCGAAAGCCATTGCTCTTGCTAAGTAGTTGCAAGCGCGGCAAGGGCCTGAGAAGGCGGATTGAGAGCAGTTAGATGTCTCTCTAAAGCATCCCAAACGTGCTCGATAGGATTCAAGTCCGGGGATCGAGCTGGCCATTCCATGCGCATCATTGTTTCCTGTTGAAGATATTCATTTACGATGTGAACCCTGTGTGGTCTTGCGTTATCGTCCTGTAACTGGAAAGCATCACCTATTGCCCCGGCACATGGGCGCACATAAGCATCAAGGATGTAATTTCTATAAACTGGAGCATTCACGATTTCTGTTGGAAAGACATGGAGGTCTGTGCGTCCACCCAAAGAGATGCGACCCCATATACAGACACTGCCTCTTCCGTATGCATCTCTTTCATGGATGTTTGACGGATGATAACGGGTTCCAGGTCCTCTCCATATCAAATAACGCCTATCGCGTTCTAGACTAAACCTGGACTCATTCGTAAAGAGAACAGCCCTCCATTGCTCAGGCGTCCAGTGGACATGTTGTCGTGCCCACTGCGAACGGTCTCTCCTATGGCGTGACTTGAGCGGCATGCAAATGGTTGTTCGCCTCGCATACAGACCACCTTCGTGAAGCCTTCTACGCACAGTTGACGTTGACACCAACCTTCCGGTGGCTGCAGCAAGAGAGGATCTAAGAAGAGTCGGAGTAGCGGTTCTTTTCCTGAGTGCACACAATGTCAAATATCGGTCATCTGCGCTCGTCGTAACAGTTGGCCGTCCTTGGCTGAACCTCCTAGGTGCGGAATCTGTGATTTGAAATTGCCTCCAAAGTCTATGAACCACAGAAGGACTCACGTTTAACCATCTGGCCACTTCTGTGTGACTTTGTCCTGCCTCTAGTCTTTCAATGGCTTTCTATAGTAGTTCTGTAAGCAAATGATGCCTGGAGATCATTGTTATGAATTGGCTGTCTCAGATTTCTGATGTCACTATCACAGTGAAATATGTGGGCTTGCTCTCAAACATGGACTTTTATGCTCCTCGCAGATGACGTATTCCGACTGCAGCGCCACTAATTTGCATATTGGAGTTTTACTCAGCTACTCTTACTTGGCAACATATTCAAATTTTATACGGTTTATCTTATTTTTGAGGGAGTTATCGCTAGTTTTGTGATTTTTCCTTAATTTATGATAACCAGTGTATATAAGATGCCTCAGTCTTAGTGTTATTTATCTATGGAAATAAGAACTATAGATAGAAATTAAACTTTTCGGCGCAACATTTCTGAAGAAGGCTGGCTAGCTCCAAAGCGGTAAAACCGCTAAACACTATTATTTCGTTCTAGCTCCAAATCCCAGCGAATGAGTTTGCTGCAAAGGAATTTTCACGTTTTTCCATGTGCTCTGTGAGCATGTGCCTTTTCTCTGTCCGCTTCAAAAGTATCCGGCAAATAGTCCCCTCGAGATTTGCCGGGATTTAAATAATAGTATCTATCCAATTCATTTCTGAAGAGGCAGAGTTAATATTAAAATGACCAAAGTTATTCACAATGTGTATCTGGAATATAAGCGATAATAACATCATACCGTTTGAGTAATCTCTTTTATTTCTTCCACTTTGGGTTGATACTGGTATCGAGCGTGAAGTGTTCTCTTTCCAACGTATAAATAATCACCATACTTCAAAGGTGGATGACATATAACCTATTAAGTAATAAAAATAAATGCATTTAATTTTACTTCATTTAAACGTAGAGATGAATAATTTTTGCAATACTTCTAAAGGAAATTATAATTATTATTATTAGTCCAAAGGGGCAATTTGCCCAGAATGACTATTAATTTCGTAAAAAAATGCGTATAATTTAATATTCCATACAAGGAAGTCATGTGGTTTACACATCAGATTTTTTATAGAAGTAGCAAAGTATTATAATTTTCAGGATTATTGGAGAACGTTAATGCTCGATCATTATTAGCCCAAAGAAGTAATTTGCCCAGATGAAGTATTAATTTCGTTTTGGCATTTTGCGTTAATTTATTATAATGTCGGTTCACTTTTCAAATAGTTGCCACCAAATATTATCGCTTTGTGTTTATATTTAAAGAAATTAAATAATGAAGAATCTGCATAAATGTATATATGTCTCTCGCATTGTGATAAAACAACGATATCCAAGAGCCATCAAATTTTGAATAACGAAATCTTGCACCAAATATGCGCATCTGGAAGCCCAAATTCGGAATTTGAAATTTGTTTTATTATCAATTTCATATCTTGTAACACTTCAACGAATTTTAGATTAACATACTCAACGATTTCAAAGCGAGCAATGGCAATACTTTATGGAAGGGAAACAAATATTTTTATCTCCAGCGTGCGAGACTGTATCGAAAATTCTAAAGCTTTGCTCATTTTAAAATTATTTTGCGATATTGTTGTTGAATTAAATTTTATGGTTTTAGTGCAAAGAAAATGATATTTTAATGAATAAAAGTAACACACAAAACGTTAAAAAAAAGCCCCTTTGGGCGTAATGTAAAATCTGAAAGCTTTCAGATTATTATTATTATTATTATTATTATTATCGGTCTTCATTTTTATACCCTTTACTGGTCCTGGAAGTGTTTCAGAGAAAAATGTGATGCCTCTTCTTCAGTAATAAACGTACATTTTATTTTAACTAATAAAGGTAAATTTTATCTATAATAAATAAACTACTTTATCTATAATAAATAAACGAAGAAAACTTCATTGTACGAAACATGATGGGAGAAAAAGGAAGCAAAGAGAAAGCATCGCAGCTCTAAAATATCGGGGAATAAAAGCGTCTTAAAAATATCGCAGTTTTAAAGCATCGTCATAAAAAATATCGTGGTAAAAATAAAGCACCTACAAATCATGGCAGGACGGTAATATGACAAGTATGTGTTTAAAGAGTATCAGATTAACAAAGGGAAGGAAAATAATTCTACAATTTGATCATAATTCAAACAGTTTTAATATAGATAACATCATACTGTTACACTTCTGTTTTCTATTTTTTAGATTATATTTTTCAGGAAAAACGGCCATTACAACTTCATAAAAAATTAATTAAATGCTTACTTTTAAAATTAAGTACATAAATTTAAAATTCTATTAAATGCTACATATGGGTTTAATTTTCTACTCATATTCAGTTTTTGAATGCTTAAATTTCCTTCTTGCCTTTCTAGTTTTTTGCTTTTATTACTTGTAAAGCTTGACAAAAATATTTCTGCGATGTTATCCTCAAGCGATAATTCGTAAGTGCTTTTTTTAAGACGATATTTTAGAACTCCATATATTTTTTAATCGTTTTATTTTCGCTGACCATGTTTTATACCAGATTGTTTTAGACCTGCTATGTTTTTCTCTTTGCTTTCTTTTTTCTCACGATGTTTTGTATGACAATGTTTTCGGCCTGTATTGTTTTCACAGCGAAGTTTCGTCCGTTATGATTTGGCCACAATATTTCCACCTGTAACCTATCTGATAACATATCTGATATTGGATTTTAGTGCATACGCCAGCCAATGAAATGAAACAAAATCATTTTCTTTATAATTACATTTCTTAGCTACACCTATTTAAGAGATTTCAAACATTTAAATTCTGGGTGCTGCTTTGGTAGACGGTTGTATGGATTTTGGCGATTTTTCTTTTGGCGAGTAATACGATTTATGGTAAACCCATTGCTGGATAAGTTATTTATGGTAACCGATACTTTGTTGTCATTTTATTTCAAAAATAATGCGTTTTATTATGCATGAATTCCGTGTTTTAAATATTATTTATGGCTTCTAAATATTAAAAATCAATTTAATTTTGAATTTTTATTTGAAATAAAAATTTTATTGTTTATGAAATTTTATGCTGTGGATGATGTAATCAATAACGTCACCTTACTTTAAAAGTAATTGGTTTTAATATCTATAAATTTAATCTAATGTTTTAAACATTATTTATGGTTGTTAAATATTAAAATGCAATTTAATTTTGCATTTATTTTTTAAATGCTTTTATTATGTATGATTATTTAAATAATTTTAATTCTAGGCGTGATGTAATCAGCTCTCTGATTGGTTATAGAATATTTGTGCATTAACGAGCTGTGATCAGCTCCCTGATAGGTTGCTGAAAATTTGTGCATTACCGCGCCATTTTAAAATTTTATTATTCATCTCTTCGAATTACTTTAATTTCAAGGAAACAGATGTTTCTCTTTCAAAGATTAAGTGTTGTTATTGATAAGTACCAAGAATTATTGGTATCGGAATAAAAAAATTGTCCTTTAACACCTTATTTTGGCCAGCCTGGCTTTCCTAATCAAAGATTTATTTATAAATTCTTACAAGGGTCAGAGGAAATTTATTAAAAATTTTTTGGAGGAAACCTTGCTAATTGCTTCTTCAATGAAGTGCGAAAATGTAGATCACAGATGAAGATCGTTAGAAGAGTCGATTCTGAGGACGGCCGTATATGGTAGTGTGGTGATGTTGGAAGAAATAACCGCTGTAACGGTAAGACAAGTATTAGACATTCCTCCCTTTTTTACCGACAATAAACTAATTGCTGTCATTTTAGCTCAAGTGTACGAAGCGTTCTTATTATTAAATAATTTCAAATATTTTTTAATAAATTAATAAAAAATTACAATTATTCTCTATTAATGAAACCTTGAAAACCGTATTCACATTATAGTAATTAAGAGATTACAAATTTGCTAATATTTTCAAAAAGTAATTCTGGACTCTTGTTTTGTATTATAATTGTTTGAATATTATGTAAAGATTGTAAGCGAAGCAGAAGCTAAATATCATTATGTTTTTTTTTTTTTTTTTTTTTTTTTTTTTTAAATATTTAGCAATTTTAACCAATTCGCTTTATTTACTATATTTTACAATTTTCTCACCTTAGCAAAAACATTCTGTCGAAATTTAATTAATTCAGTTCAATATTGGTAACTTCTTAGTTAGCTTAATAAATTTCAGCATAATTATTGAGTTAGTAATTCCAGACAAAAATGTTGAGCTCCATTTTGACAAACCTTTGTGCACCGCAGAAAACGCATGTGTATAATACTAAGTTTTCAGATAATTTTCATTTAATACTTGAAATTTCCATTTGTATCTATAAAACTCGGGTTGAATTTGAATGTAAGAAAATATTAAAATTTTTCTTTGTTGAGAAATACAAATGATTTTCTCTACCACACCTTCTCAGCGTAAACACAGCACTTTACAAGTAACAAACACTAAAAGACAATTCTACACCTAGAAGTTATGTGATTCTGTACTCATACATTTAATTAGTCTTCAGGTAAATACATACTTTGAGATGTTATACAGAAAAAATATTGTCAAGTTAGTTTTGTAATATTTTATCAAAACGTTAACGCGACTTGTAAATGAAGAACTTATAGCATTATACGAAATAAAGATTCACCGAAATTTCATATAAAATAGCGGTTTTTTGCGGCTTTTAGGTAAAAGGATAAAAATACTTTAACCGAAAATTTAAAACACAAACAACTTTATATTACTTACATTTTGAGAAACATTTTCCGTTGAAGACATTTTCACACGTATTACTGTAAATAATTATGTGAAATATAACTGACTTTAATCAGTCTTTAAGAAATTAAAGTGAAATTTTAATAGAATAACTGCATCAACAATTCATAGCGTTGCCAGATAATTTAATAACAGTAAAGGAAATTAAGTGCAATTAAGAAATGCCTTACCCTTCACTCAACTCTGTTAACTATTTGAAAATCTTTTTATTGCGCCTGATGCAAAAGGCAAACGAGCAATCAACGCAGGAGAATTCTCAAATTAAACATGTGATAAATGATATAATAACCTCTTTCAGTTCATGCTTCTTAAAACTGAGGAGGAATTCCTATGTATTTTCTTAGTCCAATTTAAAACGTGTTTTTGAAATGCAGTAAGCTAATATGACACTCTAAATAAATTAATTCTAATTATCTCTATTCATATTTCATAAAATCTGATGCAACAAGTAAATGACGTTGACTAATGCTGTTGACTGCATTTAAATGTGTTAAAGCTTGCCAAAAGAATCTCAGTGTTGAGTATTTAAAGCTTTTGAGATAACTGTGAGGAAAATCTTTTTTTCTTTACAATGAGAGACGGAGTTATACATACACATATATAAAGATTTTACTCACAATGATTTATTTAGATTCGGATAGATTAGTGATTCATTTAAATGAGTTTGATTTTATTTGCTCAATATCAAAGGAACATGTCAGTATTTAATTTGAAAAATGATTCCAGAACCCGTGGCATAGTTTCGTTTAACACTTTCGCTTCGATTGCCACACGTACGTGGCAGCAAGAAACGTACTCATTTCCCGGGCGACACGCTAGCGTGCCAGAGTGTTTTCTCGTTCACCTCCGGCCGTCACTAGTGTCTTGGATCGTTTTTAGAAACAATAACTTTTGTCGCAAGATGGCACTGCATGCCCATAGGATGTGAGATACATGTAGATTCGAACATATACTCGAAATGAGAAAAACATGACTCACTCAGAGAGGAAAGGAAAGCATAATTTAAACAAACATAAAATCATCTCTTTAACTCGTGACGTGATATAAACATTCGTGTTTCTGATAATCCTCCGAATCCTTCTTTTATTCTTTTTTTCTCTACTTTGTAGGGTATTTTAGGGTTACTGTGGGAAGTTTTGTTACGCTTTGAAATTGCTTTCGGATATCGCGTTCTTTCCCTTTTATTTTGGAAAACCTGAACTCCACTTTATTATAGCGAAAAAGCGTTACTTATCAAAAGAAAGATATACCCACGTAGTAATTAAGCCAATTATTGACGTGGATTAGAGTGATGATTCATTTTCTAAAGTGATATTTCTAGTGGTTCTGATAGAGGTATTTGTCAGAGATTGAGTTTATTAATATTGTTACGAAATGTACAGGTACGGTAAGATAGCTTCCCCGCAAAGCAAGTTCAGGGTTGCCACATTTGGTGAAAAATCGCCCATTTGGCGACAAAATTGGCGATATGCCATGGACAGATGGAGAACCTTCTGGAACCAATTCTTACTGGTTTAGCCCAGAATGTTCTCTAACACAAGCCGAAAGCTATATAAATCCTGCCGGTCCGCGTCGATCGAGTTGATAGTCGAGCAGCGAGGGCCGAGTGCATAGAGAGCCTCTTAGTGTATCGCGGTTAGCGCATCGTCGAGAGAGTGTGTTAAGCTCCGGGAACGACTGAACCGAAGAGTCGGGAGCTGTGCTCTGTGTGTCGTCGAATGCATCGCGAGTTGTAGCGAGGAGAGTCTCGAGAGTACGTGGAGTTCCAAGAACGACCGAGCAGAGTCCGAAGATGTACTCTGGTGCTTTGCAGTGAAGCTGTTTCCACCGTTATTGCCTGACAGTGTGAAGGCTGTGTCGCAGATTGTTCCAGCGTGTTTACTTTAGATCTTTGACGACTGTAAAGTGTTTTTGAGCTGTCCTGATTAATATTGGTAAGAAAAGTGTGTTTCGATATTCTATCAAGTTCTATCGTCGTTATTCACTCCAAATCCACACGAACCCCGTACGAACGGGAAGGAAGAAAATAATGAAACAACTGGTGTCAGAAAAAAACGTAACAATATGTTTTGTCAATTAAAATTTCAGAATAATTTGAATAGCGCATCTGAAAATTATTTTTAAAGTAAGCAATGTTTTAATATATTTTCATGTAAAGCAAAGAAAGAAAAACTATTAAATGCTAATTTTAAAGTATACTTAAATTTTTAAAATTATTGTTTTTAAAAATTAAATTTTATGTTAAAATTAAATGGATATTTTATAAATTATTTTTTTTTCTATTACGGTTAACTTACTATGCATGTCTGCACATAAGAAGTGACACATTATTGTTTTTTTCAATTTAAGCAAGTATTGTTTTTCTGCGCTGATTTAATGTTATATATATTCTTTCTAATTTATTCTATATAAATCATTGCAATTAATTTTGTCCTTTAATAATTTGCTAAACTGAAAAAATTCCTCAATAAAATAATGAAAGTCATTTATTTCCTGTGCATTCGAAAAATAATAACAACATTGTAGTATTAAATTTTTGTGAATTTTTGAAACTGATTTTTGAAAAATGGTTGTCGTTAAAATGAGTCTTAAATACTTCGGATTACCATTTCAAGGAACAGATGTGAAATTCATTAGGTGTTTGTAAACTAAATTTCTTTCCGCTTACTTACTTTTACTTTTCACATTCCTTTACTTTTATTTTTTATTACTTTTACTTTTCATTTACATTTCTTTACTTAAATCAGCTCGAAATTTGGTAAATTTCATTCAAGTTTTCTTTAAACTGACTCATATCTGAAGTACATGATTATACCCTTACTGCACGTCATGAAGCAAAAGAAATGAAAATTAACTTTTTTAAGCTGTTTCAAAGGGTGTAATGAAAAAAAAATGTTTAGTTTATTAAAAATTCGATTTAAATTTTGTAGTAACTTGTTAGATAAGTGCTCATAAAACATTTATTTAGCAAATTCAAAGTATTTAAATGTTAGCCAATCATTTCCTAAAAGTGTAATAAAAGAACTAACAGTATCGTCTGATCTAAAATTGAATAATCTGAAAACCCCGGTGAAGTGACAATATTATGAAAATCAGTCATAGTAGAATTTTGGAAATTAATCGCCTTGCCGGTAGTTAACAAAAATGCGAAATATCCTATAAAGTTATCTCAGGACTAAGCAAATAATTATCAATTTCTGATTATAAAACCAGAAGAGATTAGATTATTTGAGCCTGAATTTTATATAAGCCTAAGTTTGCCTAAGAGGAGAGATGAGTTCGTGGAGGACTTTCTGAAGGAAACTGGTTCGTATTCACGTTACGTATGGGGGAAAACATAAAAAATAACTCTGCAACCAGCTCGTTCTGGTTCGAACCCAAACCAGCCCCAACTACCAGTAGTCAGCGATATTAACCACTTGGCTACTCGTAGGGGTAAAAAACTCACTATGTGTAAAAAGTTTATTTTACTGATCTGGATAAGATAGTATTCATTAATTCTTTTTCCAACTGAGAGAAAATTTTAGCTCTTTGTATTTCTGCACTACATTTGAAACATACATGAGGAAATATACACATAATCCAGTTTGAAACAACACTTAGAAATTTCAATAAATAATTCCTTCAGCTTGTAGAGTTCCTCACGTTCAACAGTAACTTAGCATTTTTTATAAATGCTAAGTTACTGTTGAACGTGAAGAATCTTAAGAACTGATAAGCGAATAATCGCTTGAGTTCTTGAGACAGGAAACAACAAGATAGAAGAGTAAACTAACACTTTATTATTCCAACTAAAGTTTAACAAACTTCGTCTTGGAGTGTACAATAAAGCCGACACTTGGTCTTTGAACTTAAGAGACTGAGAATAATATTAAACTAATCTAAACTAAAGATTCTAACCGAGTTGGCCCCTTAACGTTAATAGACTGCGAAGCTATCAAGAGCATAAAGTGCGGCCGAGCGTAAGAATAGCTTACGAGAGAGTAGCCTAAAAAAAAGGCCGACGCGTACATACAGAATACCTGGTATCTCTCTCACTAAGACTCAAGAACTTCGCGGTTAAATACCGCTCTTCTTCATTATGTATTCAGACGTAATTCTAAAACTACGTTCTGACTGGAAGTAGTAAGTTGTTAAGAATTGATAGGAAAGGAACTTTAACTGTTAATAAGATTAACATAATCCTTACAAGCTTTTTAAATTATCTGTTGTTCAGCAATAGTTGGATATTTCCTTTTAAGTTAGAACATGAATTTGAAAATATTGCTACTCATCAACAGGAACAAAATAATAAGTACTCGTTATTGAATTCCGTTTCTGAAATCTGGTTATGAAAAATTGTGTAATACTGTTTTCTAACGAAATGTTTTTAGTGTTAAATTTTTGGTATAGTTGTTTGCAAATACTGCACTTTAAAATTAAATTCATTCTGAAGTTAGGGTTTTTAGGGAGGATGTTTACACATTTTTAAAACGCTTTTGATAAAGAATTTTAAGAACAGCAAATATCTTGCTGGAATAAGAATTTCGAAAACAGTTTATTATTTAAAATTAGAAATATCGTCGGCTACTTTTTAATTTATACTTCTTTCAAAATTACGCATGTAAACAAGCTGTGGATGGTTTTCGTAATTTCCGAAAAGAAATTATTATTCCATAATTGAGAAACGTTGTGGAATGCGTGGTATTAAAATTTTCAACTGAAAAATAAGCAGCGATGTTAATTGGAAAGAAACAAAAACCATCAGTCATTACTTCAACACCGAAAGAAGCCTCGAAACCAATATCCAAAAAACATACGCATGGTTTCTAACTTATCTAAAGTTAAGTCGTTGGTAACAAGAAAAAATCCGTCGAAGCAGGAATCAATTGCAAAGTCTTTAAATACATCTGTAGCAACAAGAGATAAAATAATGAAGGCTGAAAAAAAAAAAAAAATCTGAAAGCTTTCAGATTTTACATTACGCCCAAAAAGAACTGGTTAACGTTTTGTGTGTTACCTTTGTTTATTAAATATAATGTTTTTCGAGCTTAAACCATAAAAATCAGTTAAACAGCAATAGCCCAAAATAATTTT